CTGTTTTCTTTGACTCCCGTGGTGTGGTACACCACGAGTACGCACCATAGGGTCAAACAATCACGTGATGCTGTGCGTCCGCAAGAGACCGGAGTTCTGGTCAACAGGAAATTGGCACCTCCATCACGTACAATGCTCCAGCACATTCCTCGCACTTGATTCAGACTTTGTTGGCGGAAAGCCAGACTCCTGTGGTTCAACAGGCTCCTTACTCTCCTGATATGGCTCCTTGCAACTTCTGGCTGTTCCCCAAACTCAAGAGGCCATTGAAAGGAACACGATTTCAGACAAGAGAGGACATTATGGCTGCAACGACAGCCGAGCTAAACTCCATTTCGAAAGAGGCTTTCTCGGAATGCTTCCAACAATGGCGGCACCGCTGGGAGAAGTGTGTGGAGTCCCAAGGAGACTACTTTGAGGGTGATTAGGTTTCCAACGCTCCAGGTATGCCATAGTTGAAGTCCAATTTGGACGAAACTTTGCATGAGTTCTCTACATCATAATGGGAAGTTCCTAACAAAGTTTGTTAGTGCAAGTGTCTACTTTTTTTTAAGAAATAAGTCAATAATAGCTTTGTATCGCATCAAAATGAAAAATGTTATAAAATAGACCCTTGCTGAAATGAAAAAATAATAGGGCCTTATTTTACTAAATCTCTTCCTTAACCCTTTCACAGATGGGACATATATTCCCAGTGCACTGGGAAATATACATCCCATCCACAGTGAAAGGGTTAATGGAGAAATAGTATTTCTTTCCTTTTTAATAACTTACATTAATTTTATACATTTATAATTATCAACAAAACTCATTTTTTTAATAAAACTTCTAAAATTGTGGTGAAGTGAGTCTTTCTAGTGGAGAATCATTGTGATATTTCAGAAGAAAAGTGACTTTTTGTGCTGTATAATCTAAGTGTACACTATGAACCGAATTGTTCTATGGCCGAAGGAATTGCAAGTCCTTTGTACAGCATTCATTTCATATAAACTTGCATGACTTTTGTAGTAACTCGATGTTCGTAAGTTACATAAGTACTTTTTTACTTCAATATGAGTATAAAGTGATCAAAAACATCAAAATTTACAATGCCAAAAATTGCCAAATAGAAAAATTGACTTATCACGGAGAAAGTCTGAAACTTTGAGAAAGAAAATGAAACTTCAGGAGGCGAGTTACAGAATAAAGAGCAAAAAAGAGATAGACTTGCTCACCAAGTTATGAGGCAAGATCAAGTGAGAAAAAGCCAGGAACAAACCCAAAATACAGAAGCTTGTTAAAGTGGTCATCAAGATGTAGTTAGAAGAAGTCTGGAGCAATTTTGTGACAGAGAAGCACATTGTTTAGCTCACCAAGATCATGACCAAAGAGTCACCAGTGGGGTGGTGTTTCTGCTAGTTTCATATATGATTTTTAATTTCTCTCTAAAGCATGGAATAATAGTAACTTTTTGTTCCCCTTTAAAGTAGTGTCGTTTAATAATCAAAATAAATAATGAAAGAAAATCTGTAATCTATTTTTTGCTCCTATATAACCTATTACCATCTAGCTGACACATATTTGTCAATAAAATGTCAAAACCTTTGATACAGAGATGGAAAAATAATACAATTTACATTACTCACTAACTTTATACAATCAGTTCTTTCATATCCTAAAACAGCTGTTAATTAGTCATTCCTGAATTTCAATTTGTAATAAGCAAAATCCCCAAATTAGCAACATATGTAAAACATGCAAATAGCTCTAAAATGGCTTAGGTGATGATGAGTTAAACTTAAATTAGTGTCCTTTCCTAATCAAAATATATAATGAAAGGAAATCTAGTATGCATCAGTGTCGGTGTCTGATGACGTCCCAACATCCATTTTGTGGATTTTTCCTTCATCACTTTTTTGCACCTGATTGTCAGTCTGGACCCTGCCAGCATTTGGTCTACTTGTGCGAGATGATCCTGAATTCCAAAGATGGATAGATCTTATGGTGTGAAAGTCATTTGTTGAAGGCAAGTTGAGCATGATCAGAAGCTGATCTGTGATCCTGGCATCTCCCAGACAAGATCTCAGATTGGTCTTGATCATCTTCATCTTGGTAAATTTTTTCACAAATTTGGGAAGGTCCATTCCTGGTTTGTCATAAGTTCTGCTTGGTTGAGAAATTCTTAGATCAACTTATGTGGAGTCAAACTTTCAAAGGTTCCTTTGATTTAAAGGGTTGCTTGGCTACCTAGCAGACACTTTTTATGGGCCTGCCAGCATTTTGGGAAGCCATTGGTTCCCGGGCTCCCTATAATTTCAAGCCCTGTATACTTTATCCAGAATGTGAATGTGACAAAATACTGGTCCACTAGAATAAAGCCAAGACAGGTCAATTTGTAAAGGCCATTTTTATAATATTGGATATGGTAACATGAATGCACATGCACCACATCATTCTAGCTTCTGTAATGTTAGTCAGACCTAGCTGAAAGGTCAATAAACTAAGAATAATAAATATATAGGTATAATGTTATGAGATTTAAGCTATTTAGACTAAACAAATTTTGGTTTCATGTTATAATTTATATCTATTTTTTTTTTCCTCAAGATGGATTCCTGTATGTGGGGAAGGAACATTCCAGAGAAGCTTCTGTATCTATAGTTTATCTCATCTGGGATCCAAACATCCACCCGTGTGTTTGCCATGCATGGCATCCCGTGAAAGGGAAAAGAGGATCCTGGTGGTTGAGGGGTGTCATTGATGCATCGATTTATATTGGTGGTACTTTAATACATCATTTTGACCTTGAATTCCTGGCTTTGGGGTGGTTCCCCCAGGATCAATTGGCTGGTCCTGTTGGACTAAGGTCAACAAAGTACCAATGTTGGACATTGTGTCTAATACTGATGTTTGGGTATAGTGCCCACGAAACCCTAGCATCTGTATAGTGCCCTACTTTAGCATTGTAGTGCATCCCCTTGTAGGACTCCATGGTGGGGGGGGGGGGGCAGTGGGCACTGAAGTTTCTCAATTTTGTATGGTGAAAAGTAGTCTCCACCTTATTCTGTACCTGTGCCTTGTTTTTTCATCATGCATTCTTTATCAGACAAATCTTTAGGGCAAAGGTCTCCCTTTTTATTCAGAGGGATTAGATAGGCTTGCTGGCTCTCCAAAGTCAGTGAAAAAGCTATGTTCTGGGGACATCATGGTAGCAACATCTACACCAAAACAGTGAACTCCTGAATTCAAAGGCCATTAGGGATATACCCATTGAGATTACTCCCAATGTTACTTTGAGTAATAGTTGAGAGGGGTTTACAAAAACACCCGAGTCAGAGATCCTCACTAATTTCTCCAACCAAGAAGTTTCAGCTGTGCAATGTATCTCCACTCACAAAGAAGGAATTATGCTGCCTACCAATGTTCTTGTATTGACATTTACATTGTCATGTCTGCCTGGCACTGTTAAGGCAGTTTATCTGAATTTTAAGATACGGCCTTATATTTCTAACCCTCTCAGGTGTTTCCAGTGTCAGTGGTTGGACATTCAAAGGTATCTTGTTGTGGTTCTTTGACATGTGCTCATTGTGATGCATACAACTGTCAACTGGACTCTCACTGCATCAGTTGTGGTGGTTCCCACACCTGCTACTATCGATCTTGCCCTAAGTAGGTGGAGGAAAAAGACTCGTAATCTGAGGGTCGCGGGTTCGAATCCCCATCCCACCAAACATGCT